GCTGAGCGGCTGGGTCACCGGCTCGGCTCCTCAGCGAAAACCTGAATATGCACTGCATCTGCTGCCTACTTATACTCGCGCTGTGATCAGCAGCAACTGGATGCAATAATCGCATGCCAATGTGCATTGGCTCGTTTAGTTTACACTCGAAGTGGATTGGTCTCTCATCCGACGTGACGTCTCCGTTCCCTCCTTCAGGGAACGAGGGTTACCATACGTAACCGAGACGTTCTTTTTTGACTGTTTGGTGGAAGTGGCCGTAAAAGGACAAAAGAGAAATGCACCGTTAACTCGAAAAAAGGTTAGTATATTATTTCTGTTTTATGCAAAACTGCAATATTTTAAGAAGATTTCACTTGTTAACAGCAAACTAACATTATAGTACTTCTTTTGTTTGTTATTTTTCAGATTTCTAGTCTGGATGTAGTCTGCAACGTCGGAGGTGTATTTAGGATCATCTTCTTGTGAATGCCATAGTACTGATGATAACATCAACTGATAAGTTAATAATGAGTTAGCTGAAGTTAACTAACTTAGTTGAACAAAGAGAAGCATAGTAAGTTAACTTCTCTACTCTGCCTCTTTATCGCAAGTAAGGTAATTCTCTTCAAATGCTATTTAAGTCAGAAAGTGTGTAATGTTACCAATGTCATATGTAACTTTAGAGACTTTTCCTAAATTCAGTGACAGACGTAACGTTAACATAAAACAGCGACCTAACAACCTGCTGAGGAAAACTGAGTTAAGAAACACCACTGTTAAGAACATCTTTTGTATTTTATTTTTAAGTTTGTGGTCATGTCGTCTGCATCGGAGGTGTATTGGAGTCTTGTGATTGCCGTTGTAGCGGTGCTAACAACAGGTGAGCTTCCATCTGCTTAACTAACGTTAATGTTACTAAATTAGCCAACTTAGCCTCTAGCTGCTGTTCTCCACTAACTCACAGAACAGGTTGACTTTTTAAAGAGAAGAACATGCTAGCACATGTTGAATAAACATGAGCACTGCACGTTTCAAAATCGAAACCGGGTGCGGGTGTTTTTATATCGCTGTATTTCTGAAGGAAACTCATTTTCATTTCTTCTTGTTTGTAATGTCTGATAATGCAGCTTTTGTGAGTGGAGCGCTGCTTTGTGTACAGCGTTACCGGGGAAACCTCGATCTCTACCCCTCCAACAGCGCCTCCTGCTGGCAGTGAATGAGTTTGCATATATATGCCGCCACAAATAGAGTGCAAGTCTGTGGGAAACACTGTAATATTATTTATGCAATTTGTAAGTGCAAATTATAATTAATTATACTTGTCTCTTTAAAAAATAAAAACTTAAGCCACTTAGCCAATGTAACTTTTCAGCATACAAAATACATTTTATTTGAAGTGTATCCCGTGTATTCTGATACATGCATTAATGTTTCTGGGCTAAGCCCCGGATATCCACTCACTGTAGAACTGCCCCTGGAATCAAACCCATTATTTCAGCACTTTGCTCTACTGATTGAGAATGGATTGTAAAAAAAATGGAGCTTTAATAATTGGTATATGATGGATTATCAACTAATGTTGATAGGTCCTTCCTTGTAGGTGCGTTCAGATGTAGTAGATAACGTTTTTATTAACATCAACGTGCATTCAGCACCAACAAGTTTGACAGTTGATGCCAATTCTGTAAACACTGCTTCACAGGTCTCTTTTAGATAATGTATATATATATATATATATATATATATATATATATATATATATATATATATATATAAATATAGAAGTGGTGGTGGGCCGCCTGGACCAAAAAATGCCAGGGCCGATTTTTTTTCCCAGTCCAGCCCTGTGCGTGATGGTCCTTGGCAAAAAAAAAAAAACATTCTGTCGGCCCACCGGGACGATTACCAATCCAGCCCTGGGTGCCACTAACACTAAGCTATCGGAGAGAGCTGCGGGGTCGGAGAAGTGAAAAAAGGCGGCGGACAAGCGCAGACCAGCAACAAAACTTAAGTTTAACTAAAAATAACAAAATCTGTTTTTATCAAATCATAGTCTATATATAAAATGAATGAATATGCAAAATATTTGTCTTAAATAGCCTAATTAACAGATTAACAAAATGAAAGTAAAAGACTGAGAGACAGCCCAGCAAGCAATTTTGTGTTTAAAAGACGTCTATTAGCCGTCTAAACACAGCCCAGACATCTAGGCTAAAACAAGGCTAAATTTGGGCTGTCAGTGAAAATTTAATAGAAGTCTAATCATAGCCCAAGAATAGACTAGTCATCAATTAGACCGCTATTAAACGACTACATATATATACGTCTAATAGACAGTAAATATGGGTCTAGGCTAAAACAAGGCTGAATTTGGGCTGCCAGTGAAAATGTAATAGACGTCTAACCATAGCCCAAGAATAGACTAGTCATCAAATAGACAGCTAATGAATGCCTACATATATACATCTAATAGACAACAAAATGGCAGTCTATCCAAACAAATTAAATATACAGCTTTTATTAAGAAAAATCTAGCGTAGCGTAAGCGTTCGCATTGCTCAATAGCTAATTAAATGGCGAATTCGGCAGGTAAAACACCATCATCACTAGGAATCGGTCATTTAGAGTAGTGGAATTCGCTTCCCCAATGGTCTCACCTCCGATTCATTCAAGTTCGTTAACTTGAACACGTGAATTCACCGCATTGATTAGGCCTATAAGCTGCCTGATTCAGAAGTGACTGAGTTAGCATTATTTCAAGTTTCGCTACATTATTGTCATGGACTCCACAAGTTATGTGACTGACTCAAGAACAAGTTCAGATGGGAACTTCATCCCCAAGAAGGATATCAAGAGATCAAGCATCCACTTCACAGCTGCTATGTTTCACTCTCTCAGACGTCTTCACATGCTAAGTTTCATTTAATGCTCTCAGGTTATCTGCAATATGCGTGTTGCTAAGGCTATCCATGTTGCTTGGGCTCATTAGGTTGTTTCTAGTTAAATGCTTGTGCTAGTTCATGCGAATGTGCGGTATTTATCTGTTGTCACTGGCAACACGCTTGTCACTTCAATATGCTGCGCTTAACGGGGGTCTAATGTCATTTCATGCATTGAGTTATTTACACTGTTAAGAGTTGGATTCTTATGCGCGTGCGCGCACTCAGCAACCCAAGCGAGACCAAGAGCGTGCCGCTTAATGCGGAGTTCACACTGCACGATTTTCAAAGACGTCGTATCACTGTTGGTTTCACACTGAACGACTATCTGGGGTAGCATTCAGTTGTTGCTGTGTTCACACTGCACGATGGAACGACGACAGAAAGATTACACACTGTATGACTTTACAATAGGAAGAATCGCCGACAGCTCTGTCTGGTGCAGGGTTGCCAGGTTTTCACTACAAAACCCGCCAAATTACTACTCAAAACTAACCTGAAAATAGCCCAATTGCATTCGAGCGGGTCCCCCAGTAAAAATCGCATTCGTTCACTACAAAACCCGCCAAATTACTACTCAAAACTAACCTGAAAATAGCCCAATTGCATTCGAGCGGGTCCCCCAGTAAAAATCGCGTTCGGGGGGGTAAAATACTTTTTTGTTTGGTGGGGTTCTCCTGGTACAATTCACATTCCAGGGCCTAAATATCACGTTATTGGGGTCGCTTCAACCTGCTGATATAAAAAACAACCGGCGGCAATCGCGGATTTGGCAACACTGGTCCGCAAACTACGTTTCATATAACTGCTCCCCGAACTTCCCGCTGCCCTGTATCTTGGTCTCTCATTGGCTGTAGGTCATCACCGATGTGTTTTTCAGTCAGAACTCATTTCAGCGTGACTGTGAATCGCCGACAGCTCCAGATATTTAGCATACCAATTATTTCACGGGCATCAGTGATTCACTCAGATCACGTCTTTGATAATTCACACTGCGTGATTGTCACTCACGTGAACGAGCACAGATTTGCCTCCGATTTTGGGCATTTGTCTGCGATTTCGCAAAACCTGTCGGCGAGTGAAAAATCGGGCTAAAATCATGCAGTGTGAACTCGGCATAATGCGTTTCTTTCATGGTCACGGAAGTCTTCGGCAGCGCCGCAGTTACTTGCTCGAGAAGACTAGGTTGTTCGAGAGGAACTACAGTAGCTTGCCTCCGTCTGGAGAGAGTAGCCGCTTGCAGTCAGTGCGGAATTAAAGCAGAGAAGTCATGTCAGACACTTTCTGCTCCTGGTAATGATGCAGTGTTTGCATACATTCACAGATGAAGTGAATTTAAATGCAACATTTGTCAAATACACAAATGTTTCAGAAATGTTTTCATAAAGCAACAGAACCATTTTTTATACTGCTAATACAGCGTCATCTGTTAATGAATAAGTTAAACATTAACATATGCTATTTAAATACCAATTAAGTGGGGGTGTATATGCTTTCATCAGTGTTTTTTGAAACGTGACTCAATATAACAATGCTTTTACTGTTATAAAAACACAGATTTGTGAGCACCATTGGAATTGAATTGTTAGAATATGCAACACGCATTGTGCTTGTCATCACAGAATCTAACCAATGAGAATAAAATGTGTCATCATCAAGGCTTTTGCAGTGCCTGACCTAGGCGGCTGGTCCCGTTTTGCTCTCGCGGTACTTTGAATGCACATGTGATCGTAAGGCGGCTGCAGTGCCAATCAAAGTTGAACAAAAGCATTTTTAATGTAACCAGAATGCATTGTTTTTGACAGGTGGCAGCTGATCTTTGCAGCGCTGCATGAAGTCGAACAAGCCTAATATCTCTAAAGAGTGTGTTTTTGGATGTGAGGAAAAGGTAACCTTATTCAGTGTTATGTGAACAGTGGATGCAATTTGTTTTTCCAAGGCAGCAACAGAGTTTCTCAAGCGTGTTTGTTTGTTCCCGTCATTTCGGTGGAGAATGTTTTATAACAAGGTACATTCTGACACTGGATTTGCACATCATTTGGTACTGGAAGATGGAGAAGCCCCAGCAATAAAAGATCCCAGTCATATAGGAACTGCTGTAAAACTGCATCAAATGTCTGTGATTGTTAGTAAGTGTAAGTGCTCGCGACTCTTCAGCTCCGCCCTCGCCTCCAGGAGCTTGGCTGTTTTCGGAGAGAATCGCAAGCTGTATCTTCCTTTTATAAATCTGATAAAACTGAAGACTCTTTGGAGATGTGAATGATACAATACTACACTATAGGTATTCAATATTAACATGAGATTGGCCAAAACTGTGTGTGTTATGTCCCCTTTAACCTAGTCAAGTCGACTTTATTTTATATAGTCTCAGCCTCAGACGTCACGCCCTCGGACCGTTGGCTGAAAGTCTGATGCATATGGCACACAAAAGTGGAAACACTTCAGGAGTTTTGATGTTGTCATCGGATTGGTTGAATTATACAGGATTTCCGGGAGACGTGTGTGTCAAGTTCTTTAACGTTCCACTGGAAACAAAGATGCTGTGATGCCAAACCCTTACGAAAGAAGAAAGCCATCGTGTTTACAACTGTGACGACGAGCACTTACCAGGATCAATTAAATGCTGGATTCTCAAAGTATGTAAAATATTTAAGTTTGTGGCACAGAATCTTTCAAATACGTCCGATAGTTTTACACACCGGTCTCTTATTGAAGCAACATTTCCACACCCCGAAACGTGCCGCTGAATGAAACAAACTGTGATTGGTTGTTTGACATGTCAATCAAACGGCCTCATGGGCGGGTTTGGCCAAAGAACGCTGCCATGAACTCCAGACCTTCAGCAGTCAGTCTGAAGGTCTGGCTACGCGAGACTAATTTTTATAGCACTACAGCACATATTTAAGCAGCAGGAAATAACGACCATGGTGCAAACGGAATAATTTCTGCCGCGGTGCAGCTCCAAGAGAAAATGGTAAACGGTCATTGTTCATTTGAAGTCATCTGCATCCGAAAACCTAGACTGCTGACATGCTGCCTCACCACCTATCAGCTAATGATTTCGCAGGCAGCGTTTGTTCATGAAGGTAACTCATGAAACTGATATCGGACATGCTTCTGAGGCAGCTTAATGGTTCAATGATCTACAACAAATAGAATGAGCTTGGTGATAACTAAGCAAATATTCAATGATTTATTTGATCAACCATCACAGGATAGAACACACAGGATTGTGGGTATCAAGGCAGCAAAGGATACATCTATTCTGCCTTTAAATATAGACCAGATGAGGTATCTCAGGAGGCAAGAATTTAAGCTAATTTTGGATTCGACATGTCTCGATGCCTTCCTACCTTGAAATGTGTCCTCCGAAGGCAGCATTTTCCAGTTTCGGATGCAGCCGTCAGTTCAGCGTTAATTCTGTTCCTGTATCAGACATGCTTGTTCCGTCTAGTCGTATTGGAAACATGCTTGTTCTTAAGCTTGGTTGTTATTGT